GGGGGACACTTTAATTGACTGGGGCTCGGCTGCTTTTGTGCCTCGCTCTTGGAGTTAGAGGAGGAGATAGGGGGAAGAAAAAGAACCAGCTCCGTGACCAACTGTGATTGGGCTTATGTCACAGTGAAAATGAGCGAGGAAGAGAAGTGTGAGAACCTGCCATCACAGGTGGTGACATTCCTCTCTTGGATGTCTCTCGGGAGGATCGCCCGACTCTCTATGGACGTGGCAGTTTTTAAAAAGTGAGTTTCTATCATTGTGCGAAAAGCATTGACTAAACGTGTTGTTGTTTTTTTTTAAACAAAAATATTTGTTTTATGTATGAATTAGTTTTGACTCCAGTTGAATTAAACATATCGCTGTAAATACGGCCAAATGTTAGTAGCCTCGTGTCAGATTTTGGAAAAATTATTTGGTGCAAAAAAAAAAAAAGCCTTCATGAACACTCCAGCTAGAAACTTTTCTTTCAGCACAGTCTTTTAAAAATCACCATAGGCAAGAGGAGAGTAATAAATTCGGAACATTTAAGATGGCCGGTCTTAAAATTGTCGGCAAGTTTGTAAGGAAGCAGGCCAAGCAAGCAAGTTGTCTGTTTTACTGCATTTGCCAATTGTGGAAGGCTTTCAAAGGATCCTTTTTTAAAATGAGAAAGCGTTGTGCGACAAACACAGATTAATATCAGTAATTGCAGCATTCAACTGGGTTTTAGGCATGATGTCCCTAATCTCGTCCCTAATAAGATGAATCTTCAGAGTAAAAAAGTAAAATTGTGAGCTGAATTTGGGGAACTACTGCAGGTCGGATGGTGTTGCGTTAGCATTGCTATAAAATCAGTATTTAACGTTGATTATTCTGGAGAATTAATTAGCTTTAGCAAAGACAAGAGCTTCTTTGTATTTAGCCAAGGTATCGCACCATGCCTGATGGAATAGCTCGAGTTTAGTCGCACGCCATTTGTGTCCAAGCTTCATCTTCAACGTGTCGGTTTCTGCTGTAAACCTCTTAAGACCAGATCGCAAGGGCAAACAATTTCGACTCTTGGCAAAGGTAGAAAATGCGTGTTGATGTTCACGTCCAGGTTCTCGTTCTAGCTATGTTCTTCTTTGTTATATTTGATTGCCTCATCCTAGTGTCATTGGAGCAGATGTCTTGGCCTGTTGCGCGCCAGCTCCCTAAGACTAGATTCGTTGTCGGATGCTCTGGTCACCGGGAGTGTACATTACTGTGGCTGGGTTTTTAAGATAAATGTTACGAGTGATTGAGTCACCGAAAACTAAAGTAGACTGAGGTTGAATGGAACGAGCTAAGGGGCTGTATCTGTTCTGCATCTTAACAGGCTCACCAGGATGTAGGAAGTTTTAAGAAGCCTTTTTCGATTAAAGGTGAAACATATGAAACAAATAAGTAAAAGCCTAATAGCCTTGATTTCAACGGATGCGGACCACGATCACCTCGATGACTCAGAATCTACACAGACGTATTCTTTAGAATCTATATTAAAAGTCCACCGTTTTCGAATGAGCATCACATGTACTTTGAGATTCACTACTTGAATGATGAAGCTACTCCTTCCATTGACTGAAAGGAAACAAATTAAGAAGAAAATATTTCATGACACACGTTATGCTTGTCGATCTCATCACTCATCCATCCATCCATCCATTTTCCGATCCGCTTATCCTCCATTGTACTTGTTCTCATTGTGCTTTGGTTATTGTGTTAACCCACACTGTGTTGCACTTCACCTACTGTGGCTTTGTCAAAATCACAGATTTTTGGGGGGGAACCAAATCTTGTTGTCTAGCAAGGTTTTATAGTTCTGTTTACTTACTGGCTTTGGAAGTGGGAAAGGAAAGCCTCAGATGTTTAACAGACCTTTACTACAATACATACAATATCTTCTATACATTTTACGCCTGCCATTGTTTGTATGTTCAAATATGTTTTGTGTTTTTAAAAGTATAAGAGGGATGTGATTTATTTTTTTTTCTTCCATATGGTCTCTCGGTTAGGCATTTTCTTGAAGGTATCCCCTGCAATGAACAGGAGTTCAGTGCTCAGTCAAAAGTCTGTAATCAAAGGAACTAAAGACAGAGGGCGGCAGGCAAATGATTTATTGTGAGGAAAAAAAAGTGAATTACTCCGTATCAGTTGCCAAATCCCATTCAAATAAATCCTTTCTTTAATCACATACGTGATCAGAGCAAGCTGATCGATTGGCTCTTCCTGGCTATCATGTCACAGTATGTGCTATGACGTGTGTGCCATGTGGTATTTCCGAGCCCTTAATTAACTTTTCTACTTCATTGTCATTTATCATTTTTACTGATTGATCACAACAATATTATAAAGATCCCACATCCATTTATTTATGCAAATCTCATGTTTTAATATTTTGTAAATGTATCCTCACTTAGTACTCTGGTGACAGTCTCCCAGTCTTTAATGTGGCCAATATGGCCCTAAAATGAGTATGGATAAAAAACTTTTTGAAAATGCATACTTGATATTTTGACTGCTCTGAAGTGAGGAGAGAAGCTGGAAGGAGTTGTTCAATTCACACTTGTCACCAACTCGATGCCTGTCGCTGATGGACACAGGTGGTGGCACATTTTAAGTCAGACAGTTCAAGTGAAGTACGCTTTATGAAAATAGGCCACACAAAGCAATGCAATGATCGTTAACAAGAAAACGTATTTGACCAAAAAATGTATGTAGTTCATATTAGTCAGTTGTTTTTGTTCTTGTTGTGACTTGAAAACTATTCAAGTGACGTGACAATTTCCCAAAATTACTTTCTAAATATAGACTATGTATTAAAAAAATATGAATTAAAAACAATTTAAAAAAACAATTTTGAATCACTGTTAAGTGGTGGATTAACTAGGTGCACCATCAAAGGTAAAACGGACCCACTGCGAGTACACTTTCATAAAAAAAATACTTTCTGATGCAAGTGCTGCATCAGACTGTCAATTTGTCCCAGAGCTTTCCCAAGATTTGATATTAAAATCAGCGGCACCTGGCAGGAGTGGTTAACACATCTTCCTCACAGATCTGAGGTTTGGTGTTTGAATCCCATCTCGAGTTTGCTTGTTCTCCCCGTGCTTGTGTGTGTTTTCTCTGGGTTCACCGGCTGACCATTCTTATATGTTGTGTGTTGCTTTAAGATGTTTTTACTGACAGAATCCAGCAGGTTGGGTTGAATGCATGTTTGTCAGGCTTTCGTGTACATGGTGACCCCAAGAGTTGTGTGTGCCCTATTACCATTGCTCTTTACAAAGTACACAGATAGCTGTAGAACATTGCAGGAGGGCATATCGGTACGTTGTATTCTGATGATACTGCTCTCCTGTCTCTTCGTCAAGGCCCAGACAAAGATTGCGGTCATGTTTTCCCAACTTTGGTTCATGAGAAGATAGCTTACTGTCTCAAGATATTATTTCAAAAAACAAGGAGCTTATCAATCATTTAGATCGTGCGTCAAACTTAAGGCCCGTGGGCCAGATGTGGCCGGCCACATCATTTGTAGTGGCCCGCGAAAGCAAATCAAAGATGACAACTTCCATGATGTTTGCTAAAATCTGTGCCAAAATTTCAAATGTTCATCCGTAATAAATCAGTGACATATTGTCACCGTTTTCTTGTGACCAAACCCCTTGTTGCCGTTTGTGAAACAATAATTGAATAAAATATTATTCTTGACTTCTTTATATAGTTTCAGTCACAAAGGCCCTCCAAGGGGAACGGTCATTATAATGTGGCCCGTGACAAAAATGAGTTTGACACCCCTTATTTAGATAGATTAAAGCACCAAAAGCAAACGTTATTGACAGTGAAGTTGAGCTTGTTGAATTATTCAACCAACATGGCACTGCATTCGACTCGGTTTGACTGGAACACACATGCAGTCATGAAGCAAGGTCAACAAATGATAAATGTATTGCATTTCAGGCAATTTCCTTTCTTCATTGAAAACCTTTCAATGGTTTATTTTATCAGCTGGTTCAATGTGTTGCCAGTGAAAGACAAAACCTGCCTGAACAGCATTATCGAAGGTTGCTCCAAGACAATTGGCGTCACGCAGCAAGACTTGGGTACACATTTGCTGAAAATGCCACCCGAGCGGCCACAAATTTTGCCCAGCATTTTTGTGTGCCCCCGATGAAGAAAAAATGATTCTCTAAGTTTCTCATTCCTTCCTACTAAGGCTGCTCAACACATCACTCTTTTTAAAATCAATCGCTTTTTTTCTTTTTTAATCTTCCATATGACTGTTTTCATTGTGTTATGTTGCCTTTGTCTCCTTGTTTTTGTTTTCTTCATTTCCTCCTGCCACCGAGCCTATTTACCATGTCTTCTGTGACCAAGTGTTTTTTGAGTGTTTTGTCACACCACAAATGAATTTCCCTCACCTGGATCACTGCACTTGGTTTATCTTATGGAGTTTTAGAATATTGTTTCTAACTGTTGCTTCATGCCTCATGCCACTAAGTCGACTTCAACATTATCAACTGCTCTAACCCTAACACATCCTTCAGTCCCAGGAACAGAGGGAAGTACTGCCTGGGAGAAAGACAGCGGTATCGCATCTGTAACACAACACCGTGTCCAAACAACGTGCCCACTTTTAGAGATATCCAGTGCAGTCAGTTCAACAGTGCACTCTACAAGGGCAAATTCTATAAGTGGGTTTCGGTCATAAGCAGAGGTGAGCAGCCGATTTTCATTCAAGTTGACAACGTGATATTCGTGATACAATGTTCAGTGTATTGTCATGCCTTGTATACCCTAAGCGTGTCCATGTTCCACTTTAGTCAGTCCTTGTGAACTCCACTGCCGTCCACTGGATGAACACTTCTCCGAAAAGATGCTCGATGCCGTCACTGATGGCACCCCGTGCTTTGAAGGCAACAAAAGCCGAGACATGTGCATCAATGGCATCTGTAAGGTAGCAGTATTTCTAATCTTTAATTTATCTCAAAGTAAACATCTGATTTCATTTGTCAAAATTAATTCACTGGTATACACATGGATGTTAAACCTTACACGATAAGGGTTTTTGGAGTTGATCAGTGATCACTAAGTTTAAAAAAAAAAAAAAAAAAAAAAACAATACTCGATGACCGATTCCATCAGAAGATGGAACAGTCTTTCTCTTTAAACAACTTGCATATTTACTCTGCATTCAACCCGCGCCACTGCAGAAATGCATTGAAAAAAAATAATTAACCCCCCCCAAATTCCTCCAAAAAACACTGATGAAGATTAAATATAATGTGTCATATTAAAATTGAATACATAACACACATACCGTAGCTACTTGTTTCTTTGCCAAAAATGAAATGGTTTTCAGACTTTTGATCAGTCAAAAAAACGAAACAAACACTAAAACCACCACAAACGCTATTGCTTTGTGATTGGATGGTCGAGGACGCAAAGGCGAAAAGTCTTTTCACTCTCAAGATGCGCAACAAGGCTAAAAGTAGATTCGCTTTTGAGCTCACATATGCACTAGGGCAGCACAGAACGACTCCGGACTAAATGAGGTTGTGTGGCCAGTTAAGTAGATTGTGAGCTACCAGTAGCCCGCAAAGTAAGTATCTTTCGCTCATGGCATGAACTCAATCACTGCCAGCCCGCTCAGTTTAATGCTATTGATATAGCTCCCTGTCAATGACAGTGGATGAGTAAAAATAAATAAATAAATAAATATAAATAGACTGCCACCTATCATCCATTGGGAAATTTGTTACTTAATTGAGATACAAGGCAGCCAGTCATACACCTATTGCATGTCTCACCCTGCATATACGTCTATTGGTTCATGCAATTATGCAAGGTGCCCGAATATATATATATAGGACATAGAAAGAATTCTAAGTACATTTTTAAATAAGTAAATCGAGAGAATAGGTCGATCATTTAGACTTGGTCATTGCATTTGTAGCTGGGAGTAGCACTAAAAACTGTGTGTCCGCTCCTGCAGTATTTCTTTTGTGTGTTTGGCTGAAATGCTGAATGTGCTACATTCTCTCTACGAGCAAGCGTTATGCAATTGACATTTTGCATTTCATGTTATTCAAAATGCTGTGGCCCTTTTTCAAGATAACATCCACCTGACTATCTGGGACAAAATGCCGGTTACTGATACACTCTTTGGATTTGGATTAGACTCCAGATTTCATGACATTTTGTGACATTTTTATAAGACATTCATTCTTTCACAATTTCTCTTTCATAGCAGTGACATCCATCCATCCTTTGTCCATAGTGCTTGTCCTCCTTCAGGTCAGAGTTGACCTCGGGCATGTACCTCACACAGCCCGTGTTGATCAATCCAAATAAACAAACTACCATTGATCCGACATGCAGTCAGATTTAAACTCTTGATTTCAATCATAGCCAATAAAGATATGAAATTTACTTTTACTCCAAACGCTCAGAAATCATATTTGTCTTTTGTTTTCAGTTAAAAGCAAAAGAATAGGACAGCAATTGGCCAACCTTCATTCTGTGAAATGCTTTTAATAGAATGTATTATGGGATTTGCTTTAAACCTTCCATGCACCCTGTAACCTGATAACATGATGAGCTTTCCACTGGAGTAACCGCTGTCCCAGGGTTCATTTATAAAAACATGTTCCATTTGATAGTACTCGCTGGAAAGACTAACCTGTTCCTCTTGAGAATACCCATAAAAATGCTTACACTTAGGCAGGATAATGAACATTAAAATATATATATATATATATATATATATATATATATATATATACACACATATATATATATACCAATTCTTTGCCATAATAGCTGCCAAAAAAAATTACCCACTCTGTACAGTTCCTATCAAAAATCGATTTATTCACCTTAAAAATCCCTTTCAGACTCATCTACCAATTCCAACTTGTATCTTATTCTGAAAAAGGGCGCACGTCTTCAGTCGTGGTTATCCTTCCAAACGCACATCCAAAGCTTGCAATTACACATCCATTCGAACTCGCATTTAACAAGTTATTCAGTCAGGATGTTTTGCGTTCCTTTCATTTATCTCATTCAATTCTCTGCCATTGTTTGCGTTGTGTTGTTGCCTGCCTACCGCAGGATGTTGGCTGCGACTACGTGATTGAGTCAAATGCAGTGGAGGATCGATGCGGCGTGTGTCTTGGTAACGGCTCCACCTGTGCAACTGTGAGGAAAACATTTGAGGAGAGTGAAGGACTGGGTATGTTTCTCATACATCTCGCAATTTCACTTGAGCTCAAAGTTATAATAGAAAACATTGTTGTCTAGACTCGACAACATTGTAGATTGTTTCTGACTTGGCAATGATGTTTGCCACAAATGTGATTCTGTTGGAAACCTTCTTTATATCACCCTTTGAAATGATGCACATGCATTTGTGGGAAGAGCGCTCTTATAGAATGCCTAAAATCCTCACTGTCTATGCCAGAAACCTTATGACTCCCCCGCTCTTCGTTCTTGTTTGATGTTCTTTGGCTAATTGAATGATTGAAGTTTTATCGGTAACAAGAAAGAAGCAAGTCATATTGGTCATTTTTCATGTATTCTCTACAATCCAGACTGTGGATGCATGGAATTGTCTTTCATAATGACATCACTTCGTGCTGCCTTCAGCAAAAGGCGTTACAACCAGCAAATCATTGCATGATTTATCTTTAAAAGACACAAGCTGCTCATCCCACAAATGTTTGTGACTTTGAAAAGGGACATCACTGAAAAGGCAAATCAACTGGTTCAGAACTGTCTAAGGTTTCTGTTAAGAAGCTTTGTTACAACATAGAAATAATCTGCTTTGTAAAACAAATTTCAGGTTTGTTTTATGTTTATGCAACAATTACATCGACTTTTTATTATCGAATACCCTTTAGATTCTGCTTCACAATGTATGCATGAACTGTGATTCCACAAGCATCGACATTTAGATGAGATGCGTTCCCGTCAAGGTTATGTGGACATTGGACTGATTCCGGAAGGATCATGGGACATTCGGATTGAGGAGATGGCCGAAGCTGGAAATTTCCTAGCGCTCAGAGGTGACGGCCCCAACAAGTATTATCTCAATGGCGGCTGGACTATTCAATGGAATGGCGAGTACAAGGCAGCTGGGGCTGTATTTACGTATGAACGAACAGGACATCGAGAGAACCTAACCTCACCTGGGCCCACCATGGAACCACTGTGGATTCAGGTGGGATTGATCATAAAATTCAATGTTTTGTTTTTTTAGTGATAGCTGTCAATACAGATGGAGTTGCATCAAAACTGTGCAATTAATTTAATGCTCTTATTATTTCGGAGGTCAATTCAACCCTTTTCAATATTCAACATTTTTAAGTATATGACTATTTTTTTTTAATTAATATTTCACACTTAATTTAATGGAGCCCACTGAGTAAACAATGGCATGTGAAATGGCATGGTTCTAATGCATCAGTAGAGCAGCCAAAGTCATAAAATCAGTCTTAGGATTCTATGACATTTTAAAACAAATATTTTAGTTGGGTTCTACCTCAATCACTTTTTTTTTAAATAGCATTTGGTCACACATACAATGATGCTGCTCTCTTTATCGATTCCGTTTTCATCTCACACAAAACTGTGTTTGTTTGACTTATTCTTGTAGCTCCTCTTTCAAGAGACCAATCCAGGAGTGCGCTATGAGTACACAATCAGTCAAAATGTTTCTGAGGATAATAACGGTTCGGCCTCAGTTTTCTTCTGGAAGTGTGGATCATGGACTGAATGTAGTGCCACCTGTGGAACAGGTAGGGGAAAATGCTTTGCTCGAGAATTTTTTTCAATTTAAAACCTTTCCCAGGTGTTTTATTTACATTGCTGCGACATGCTTTCATCAAAATCTCTCATGAATCAAGAGGGTGGTGCCTGAACTTGGCAACCAATGAGGCTATGCAGAGTGCCTGTTGTCATTTCGCTGGGAAGTGTATACATAACAGTGGTCTGGATCTCAGTGGAAAGTGTATGCGTCACGGTGGACTTGATCTCACTTGCAAGTGTGTATATTCAGTCCGACGTTTGGGCCTCTGCTTTTCGGCATTGCTTAACAGGCTGGCTCTCACATTCAATGGTGGCAGATGGAGTTTTCATCAGGAGAAGAACAATAAAAATGTGTGTGTGTGTGTGTGTGTGTGTGTATGTCTATATATATATATATATATATATATAGAGAGAGAGAGAGAGAGAGAGAGAGAGAGAGAGAGAGAGAGAGAGAGATGGTATGAGTTTGGAGACAGTGGTGATATACTAATCAAAACAATTAACCCTTGTTTGTTGCTTTTGGGGAAGAAAATCTTCCATCAAGCATGAGAGGGGAGATGAAGTTGCCGAAAGCAAGACGCTTTGTCCATACAAAACGAAGAAGCAGCCATCAAAAGAGGCTGTGGCTCGCGCAAAAGCCACACCGCAGCGAAGGTCTGCCTGCGCAACGGCAAATGAAGTGAAACCAGAATGTGGCGTAAAACATGTTGTGTGCCCTTACATCAGCGCAATTGCTTCGTTTTGCATCACACACCCAAAAAATTGCATAAATCTCAAGGTGAAGGAGACACACGCACGAAATTGCAGGCAGGAGGGGACGTGCATGCACGCGCGTGCACTCACGCCCATGCACACGTGAACGTATAGTGCACTTCGACATGCAAAAGGTTTGCTCCAGTGAAAATGGGTGCAATTAAATGAGTTAATCAAAGGCACGTGGCAGTCTTCCTGGAGTTAGCCAAAAGGACTCTCAATGAGAAAGAAAACTCTCTGGTCTGATGAGAAAAAGAATGCCAGGCGGTCATCATCTGACCCTATATTCCTTCAGTGAAGCATGGTGATGGCAGCATCATCATGGTGGGATTATTTTCGATGGTAGGAACCAGGAAGACTCATCAGGATTTGAGGGAAAGACGAATGCATGTACAGAGACATCCTCGATGCAGCGATGGCTGTTTGAAAGTGCTCTATAAATACAGTTGAGTTGAGTTGATTAAAAAACCTGCACCAGAGTGGTCAGCACCTCAGGCTGAGGCGATTTCCCTTCCCACAGGACAACGAAGTAGTGGCTTCTGGACAACTGGCTTGTGAACGTTCTCTGCCCCCTCAAACCTTTTGACATTTTTGCCACATTTCAGATTTGACTTTTTTTTTGTTGTTGTTGTTGTTTTTTTTTCTCGAAGCATCAGCACTAAATGGGTCACTGTTGTGAAGTGGAAATACAAGACTGAAAAGTGGGCCGTACGATATTATCTGGCCCCTTTACTATCAGTGCAGTCAACTTACGCCAGAAGTTGATCAATTCTGAATTTCTCAATGTTGGCCTAAATCACTGATGATGACAAATGGATTCCACCTGTGTGTAATCTCAATATAAATCTGCTCCGTTATGGTCTCTGAGGTCTGTTAATAGAATACTGGGGAGCAAACAGCATCATGAAGACCTTGGAACACACCATACAGTATAAAGTATGAAGCAGGATTAGCATACGAAAAGATTCAATAAGCTTTCAGCATCTCACGGAGCCCTGTTGGATCATTAACATTGAAATGCAGAGACGATCAGACCACTGCGAACCTACCAAGACCTGGCCATCCCTCTAAACTAGAGAGAGAGAGAGAGAGAGAGAGAGAGAGAGAGAGAGAGAGAGAGAGAGAGAGAGAGAGAGAGAGAGAGAGAGAGAGAGAGAGAGAGAGAGAGAGAGAGAGATGGTATGAGTTTGGAGACAGTGGTGATATACTAATCAAAACAATTAACCCTTGTTTGTTGCTTTTGGGGAAGAAAATCTTCCATCAAGCATGAGAGGGGAGATGAAGTTGCCGAAAGCAAGACGCTTTGTCCATACAAAACGAAGAAGCAGCCATCAAAAGAGGCTGTGGCTCGCGCAAAAGCCACACCGCAGCGAAGGTCTGCCTGCGCAACGGCAAATGAAGTGAAACCAGAATGTGGCGTAAAACATGTTGTGTGCCCTTACATCAGCGCAATTGCTTCGTTTTGCATCACACACCCAAAAAATTGCATAAATCTCAAGGTGAAGGAGACACACGCACGAAATTGCAGGCAGGAGGGGACGTGCATGCACGCGCGTGCACTCACGCCCATGCACACGTGAACGTATAGTGCACTTCGACATGCAAAAGGTTTGCTCCAGTGAAAATGGGTGCAATTAAATGAGTTAATCAAAGGCACGTGGCAGTCTTCCTGGAGTTAGCCAAAAGGACTCTCAAACAATGAGAAAGAAAACTCTCTGGTCTGATGAGAAAAAGAATGCCAGGCGGTCATCATCTGACCCTATATTCCTTCAGTGAAGCATGGTGATGGCAGCATCATCATGGTGGGATTATTTTCGATGGTAGGAACCAGGAAGACTCATCAGGATTTGAGGGAAAGACGAATGCATGTACAGAGACATCCTCGATGCAGCGATGGCTGTTTGAAAGTGCTCTATAAATACAGTTGAGTTGAGTTGATTAAAAAACCTGCACCAGAGTGGTCAGGACCTCAGGCTGAGGCGATTTCCCTTCCCACAGGACAACGAAGTAGTGGCTTCTGGACAACTGGCTTGTGAACGTTCTCTGCCCCCTCAAACCTTTTGACATTTTTGCCACATTTCAGATTTGACTTTTTTTTTGTTGTTGTTGTTGTTTTTTTTTCTCGAAGCATCAGCACTAAATGGGTCACTGTTGTGAAGTGGAAATACAAGACTGAAAAGTGGGCCGTACGATATTATCTGGCCCCTTTACTATCAGTGCAGTCAACTTACGCCAGAAGTTGATCAATTCTGAATTTCTCAATGTTGGCCTAAATCACTGATGATGACAAATGGATTCCACCTGTGTGTAATCTCAATATAAATCTGCTCCGTTATGGTCTCTGAGGTCTGTTAATAGAATACTGGGGAGCAAACAGCATCATGAAGACCTTGGAACACACCATACAGTATAAAGTATGAAGCAGGATTAGCATACGAAAAGATTCAATAAGCTTTCAGCATCTCACGGAGCCCTGTTGGATCATTAACATTGAAATGCAGAGACGATCAGACCACTGCGAACCTACCAAGACCTGGCCATCCCTCTAAACTTTTAGCCCAAACAAGGAGATGCAGTAAAGAGGCCTACAATCATTCTCCATGAACTGCAGAGACCAACAGCTAAGATGGGGAAATCTGTCCATAGGACAACTATCAGTTACACACTGCACAAATCTGGCCTGTATGGAAGTGGCAACAAGAAAGCCATCTGTCAAGACAACCATAAAAACTCCCATTTGAAGTTTGCCAAGCCACCTGTGAGACACATCAAACGTGGGAAAAGGTGCTTTCGTCAGATGTGATCAAAATTGAACTTTTTGGGCTGAACAAAAAATGTTAGCTTTGCAACTGCTCGTCTTATTTCAAGCAAGTGTTCAATGCAGCCACATACTCTAATTCGGGGAAAGTGTCATCCATTACGGCTGATGTCTGTTACATCGAAGTACTTTTGTGCGTGTGTGTGTGTGTGTGTGTGTGTGTGTGTGTGTGTGTGTGTGTGTGTGTGTGTGTGTGTGTGTGTGGAATAAAAACACCTAATAGAATACAATTTATTTTGGGAGCTTAAATGCCAGTACCGCACACATTTATTGAGATTTTAAAAAAGCCTGACCGACCCGATCATGTCACGAGTGGAGAAAATTAGAAAGTGCTAATTGCTTGCTAACATACACAATTAAAAAAAATAATGGGCGGATATCAAATATGGTTGTTAATTTTACACTTGTTGCGTGGGCAGGCACTTCTGTACACACACAGGTTGATTTGTTTTCTGCCAGTTTACTTGGAGGCCCAGCTTTGCTGCTTCTGTTTGGTATATGGAGACAGCACTGTTGAGGTGTTGGAGGGAGTTGCTGAACGGGGTGGTGTCGTCAGCGTATTCAAGGTTGGTGGTCAGGTGGATGTTGCCAAATGACACGCCTGAGACTTGCTCCCGGACTCGGATCATGAGGTGGTCAGTGACACAATTAAAAAGGTCAGGAGCAGCCACGCAGCCCTGTCTGACCCCACTGTTCATGGAGAACCACTCTGAGTGCTTACCATTCACACGAACACAGCTCTCTGAGTTGTTGTAGAGTCACTGGAGCAATGTGGTTATTTTGGGTGGAACTCCGAGGTACTTCAGGATGTTCCAAAGGGAGAGGTGGTCAACTGTGTCAAAGGCAGCTATGAAAGCTATAAAGAGATGTTGGTCCTAAGTCGAAGAGCGGAGATGTGGTCTATCGTGGACCGGTTGTGGGCATGAAGCCAGCTTGTTGAGGTTGGTGGTGGCTTCGAATGGCAGGAAGAGCACGGGTGAGAAGGATACGGGTGAACAGTTTTGCAGGTACGGAAAGCAGTGTGATGCCTCTGTAGTTGCTGCAGAGCAGCTTGTCGCCTTTTCGCTTCCAGAATGGCAGGATGATGCCCCACGTCCAGTCTGTGGGGGGTTGTTCTGCCACCCACACGTGGTTAATGATGTGGGTGAGTCATTGGGCCATGGAGTCACCACCTTCTTTGAGCAGCTCTGCAGTGATGGCACAGATTCCAGGGGCCTTGTGATTTTTGAGCGTTTTTATTGCTGCTCTGACCTCATCGATTGTAACTGGGTCAGATTTGCAGTTGGGGTTGGGGGTGGCGGAGTTGGCAGCAGTAAGAATGTGATGAACTCTCTTTTTATGAGCACTTTAAATGCCACTCTAGTAGATCAGTCGTACAGTCAAGATTATTAGATCACCCACATAGTTTTAATTTGCTGCAGTGATGTTTCCCCTCACCTTAAAATATTACTAAAGTTCAAACTGAAAATGTAAGAGCGTATCTGTCGTTGTTTACTTTTCCTGTCCAATAAAACCATGCTACCATTAACATAGTGTACGTTACCAGCCGCATGCACAAGGACTGCAATGATGTCTTTCTCTGTATGGGGTGAAAATGCAAAGACGGGTACTGCAGTAGGATGTGAATCTGCCATGTGGAGACACTGCTTTGGTTGAATCTGTCTGTGACAAACCAGCAAATGTTCTTTTATGTGACACAGAGTGCAGCTTCCAATAATATTTTTTTATTTTTTTTATTTTTCCCCCCTTGTACATTGTTTTTATTGAGTTTCCTTTTCTTAACTCTGTCCAATAAAAGCTGTGCTACCATTCAATAGATTCATCTTTCGTGCATGATACCAGCTCCATGCACAAGGGCTTCAAAGGTATATTTCTCTGCATTAGGTGAAAATGCAAAGACCGATATTGCAGTAGGATGTAAATATGTCATTTGGAGACACTGCTTCGTTTCTGTCTGAGAAACCAAACGGCCAACGTCCTTTTTTGTGATACCGACTGCAGCTTCCAATAATCTATCTTTTTGCATTATTTTTATTGAGTCACACACTAAAATAAAACAATTCTATAGTTGAGTGAAAACAATCTAAGATCAGATAAGAAAACCTTTATTTGTCTGACAATGGAGAAATTCCCAATTTACAGCAGAAAAATTATGAAAGGGAGAAGTAGAAGAACAAAAGTATATAAATAAATATAAATTATAAAGTATAAATATAAGCATATTAAAAATAGTTGAGTGGGGGTGAATCCAGGTTTTCAGGTCTGTCTATTCAATAGCCTGACAGCAGTCGGCAGGAACAAGTGGCGGTACCTCTCCTCCTTGCAGCGCGGGTGTTTCAGTTTCTGGCTGAAGGAGCTGCCCAGTGCTGTCAGGGTGGCCTGGAGGGGTTGGGAGGGTCTGTCCATCATAGCTTTTAGCTTGGTTAGCATCCTCCTGTTGCCCACCTTCTCCAGAGTGTCCAGGGAGCAGCCCAGGACAGAACTGGCCCTCCTGACCAGTCGGTCTCTCTGTCACGGGCTGAGATGCTGGCTGACCAGCAGACTACGCCATAATGAATGGCTAATGTAAATGACGTTTTGATCATTTGTGCTTAACTGCGACAGCAGAGGAAACATTATATCACTGATACCTTGAAAATAGATGGCGCATGCGTGTGCAAGAATGCTTTTCTGGCCGAAAACCTCTCATTTCATGATCATTCCAGGTGTTCAGAGGCAGATTTTTCACTGCGTGGAAAGAACTAATGGAATAGTGGATGAGTCATTTTGTGATCCTTTCACCCGTCCTGATGACAACCAAACCACCTGCAACAAGGAGCCTTGTCCAGCCATGTAAGTTTGAGACACGACTTGCACCAAGAGCCACGTGTGCAAGTCAACGAGTTCAAAGTTCGACGCAAGTTTGAGGCTGTCCTTCCTTCAGAATTAGTTCGTACTTTAATTGGGTTTATGATCAGGAACATGAACTCATCTAAGGTCATATTTACAGTAATGTATATCATCAACTGTCATAAACAATTGATGGAAGTCAATTGTTTGTTTTTGTAATTGTATGTAGAAAACTACAGTACTTGGTACCGTTAGTTGCTTTTTCAATTCTAATTCCTCTTCCACTGGCAATGTAGGAACCCAATAGACAACAAACACCATTTTTGATATGTTATAAAACGTTCCTACTCAAAGAAAAAGTAACTTTTGAGCAGAAACAGCATCACAGAGCAATTACGTTGCTCTGAATCTTTAAAAAAAAAAAGAAAAAAAAAGAGAGAGAGAAAATACACACTTTTAATTTACCTGTTGCTCTTTAAATCGTTCAGACTATGCGAAATTGCGAGACCAGGTCATGTACACACTTAGGACGTACATATTTTTGGAAGAATAAAAAACAGCGCCGGATTTTTGTCCTGCCACTCCTGATCATGATTGTTCACAATTGTGCGTTAGTAGTTTTGAGTTTCTGAGCAAACACAATGTAGTAAGGTTAAAGTGTTTATGTTGCATGGCTTTTCACCACAGTCAAACTGCATTTTTGAAGCACCGCTGAATGCACAATTGGCCGGAAACTCAGCAGAGCCATTTTGTTTCATGCGTGCAATACAATCCAATTCATCCAATATACAGTACAGTATTTACTCTCAAAGGTCAAATGCATGAGTCATTGTGTTTGGCTCCATTGTGAGATTTCCATCCCAATTCAGTCCACAATTCAACGAAATCTGTGTCTCTGATTGCAGATGGTGGGTGGGTGAGTGGCAGAAATGCTCAGCAAGCTGCGGGAGCTCTGGCGTGGCTAAAAGGACAGTGATGTGCATCCAAGCCATCAGCGTGGATGATCAGAAAGCCTTACCGCCCAGTCAATGTGAATCCATCCCAAAACCTGAGTCCGTTTTGTCCTGTAACACAGACATCCCATGCCCGGCAGATTGGACCATTGGCAGTTGGTCAAAGGTGAGTGTGGCCTGGAATACGACTGTTCACGTAATAGCGTACACATCGTCAACAGTGCCCTTGAATGGCCACTTTACTTGGGAAAAATTCACAAAGAACAAAGGTTATCATTCATGGAAAATAACAAAAAAGAAAAAGTGAAAAATCATTTTCATTCATGAAATAAATGTAAAACAAGAATGCTTAAAAAAATGAACAAACTGAAACTGCTTTGTGTATCGTATGTTGATAAAACTAACTAAAGCGAACTATAATTATCGCAAACCTTTCCTTTGTCTTTGTGAATTAATATTATAATTGAGCTGTCAGGGTTCATTTTAAATTTATTTTGGCCAGTATTGCAGTACATCCGTCACTTGTTGGGGAATTATAAATACTTAGGTACAACAGTGAGTGACAAATGCAACATATACAAACAAATAATAATAATAAAATAATATAAAAATACAACTAATAACTCAAATATTTTTTTAAACAAACAAACTTGTAAAAACTACATTTTATTCAAATGAATGAATTAAAAACAAAAATCAAAATGAAATATAAGCCAACTACAATGGAAAATGCAAAACGAACATAACCCTGCACAGAGCCAGGTCTGGTGACAGGGACTATTGGCTGCTGAGGGCATTGTGAGCAGATGCGTTGCTATGGTGAAGCAGCCCCGAGTTGTACTGCAACAACTTCGTCTTCTTCTCATGCACTGGAAGAAGCAAATGTCGCAGGATCTTCTTCTAGACATGCTGGTTGATTGTCTGGCCCACACTAAAGGGTGAAACTCAGTTTGTTTTTCGAAATACATGTTTTTTGACACCTGTCTTTGTACACCACATTTCCCGGTTTGCATAAATCCAACTCACAGCACTGGGAAAGTTGACCCTGGTCCTCCCCCAAGTCACGGCTCCAGACTAACTTTTTCTTACTCGAAGCATAATGGTCCCTACAACTGAAATTTTAGGTGTGTACACTGTAAACGAACTTGTTACAAGATTCACATTTCCCTCATTTGAACTATATTACTTGTAAATGGGCTACAGTGTCAAGCAGGAGTTTTGTCATGTCGCACATGTACGAGTGGATGAAAAGGTTTACATGCACCGTCTCAAATTTTACTGTCAAAATGCTGCTATTTAGGGGCAGTCTGGCACCCGGAGGATCCTTTTATTTTATTTTTACAGTTGATAACATTTACAATGGATTCAGCACATAAACTTTATTTTTGCCATATAAATCAAGAAAAAGGTATTGATATTGAACAGTTATTTGTTCATCGGGCAATTAGAGGGGTTAAATAATAACAAGTTGCATGCGTGTATATTTATTGGGGAGCCTTGAGATTAGCTGCTAACCGGTCCCACCTCTCAGCCAAAGTCAGCTGAAAAATGCACCGGCTCACCAGTGATTCTGATAAGGACAAATGCTATAGAAAATGGATGATTGGACAGATTTAAAGTTTGACTTGTTTATCACCTTGTACTTTCATTCAGTTTTTGTCTAACCGGTCCCACCTCTCAGCCAAAGTCAGCTGAAAAATGCACCAGCTCACCAGTGATTCTGATAAGGACAAATGCTGTAGAAAATGGATGATTGGACATATTTAAAGTTTGACTTGTTTATCACCGTGTACTTTCATTCAGTTTTTGTTTTTTCAGATATGTGCCTGTTAGTGGGCTTGGTATTTGACAGTATTGTTTTTCCATGCAGAGCTACTGTTGTTAAATAATTTGGGCCATCATGCTGCAACTTTCTTGTATGGCTTTCTCTTCAGCTTTCTAGCAGATGCCGGAAGGTTTTCTGCCAGAAAGATCTGGTGTGTGGGGTTCAACTTGAAAACTTTCTCCACCTTGACTGAAGCCTTAGTTGCAGTTTAGAAAAAGAAAAAGCTCTCCCCAGTTTCATCAAATCGAAACATTTCCCTCACACGCTGTTTGAAACATTAAAGCTTCCATCTTGCACAGACTTGAATAATATGATAGTGTGTCTTCACGTTCACGACCAGCCAGATTTTTTTTTCAGCGTCGGTGGTAGCATTCACATTTTCCATTTAATGTGGGATATGTTAAACAAAAAAGAGCAAGGTGTATTTGTACACCTGGGATTTCCACAGGCATGTGTCGACACCAATATCCACGAAACATGGACATGTGCACGTACAATGTACAACGTACAATTTTTGTCCAAAAAGTCTCTTAGTATTTTTACGATGTTTCACTCCCCACAAATAGCACAACAAATGAATTAAACTGAGCGTTTGAGTGGAGATTAGTTTTGTAAATATAGTACAAGTAAGTGTTGCGAGTCATGGAGGGGAAAAAAAAATGCAACTAGCCGCCATCTGCTTTCACTTTGTCAAAGTAGCTCTGACGGTCAGAGGTTGAATTAATGTATTCTGTCATTGCTTCATCCATACAGTGTTCACTAACGTGTGGAAGGGGAGTACGTCAGCGTAACGTGACCTGTTCCAGAAACACTGGCGTGGACTGTGACCTGCAAAAGAAGCCCCTCTCTCTGAGTGCCTGTTCAATCCAAGACTGTCCTCAAGTTGTGGACAATTTTGGTGATATTGACTGGTCCGGAAGTGGATGGACAAGCGAAGAAGTGTTGAATGAAATTAACCTCATACCTGCGGCCAAACTACCTCCGAAGTACAGTTCCACCAAAGTTCAATCAAAAAAGAGTGATCCAAATGACGTGAATAACATCTTTGAAGACTTCCATTATCATAATAAAATAGAAGGTGAAGACAATACTCCCAAAGTGGATGACTTTTACTATGACTACAACTTCATCAACTTTCATGAAGATTTATCAGATGAGAATGCTGGAATAGATTCAGGGAACAATCAGGATCAAGATTTTCTGCATGAGGAAGAGCCAACTGGCAGTGTGAGGACCACAACTCTTTCTTTGAAACCTGCAGAACCAGAAAACATTACTAAAGACACCCTGGAGAACATTGGAAACCCTGGAAAAGGAAAACCTTCTGGAAATTTTGATGACTACCTTGCTGAGGATTATCTTCTGCCTGTTCCCACCACTCGGTCACCTCCAGAACATTCTTCGCAGAAAAATGGGTACGATGAGCTCCTTTGGAATGAAAACAATAATGCGAGTTCCCCTTTGAATGACACTACCGGAGAGCCTACAAAGAGTAAAAATGTGGGGCAAGCTGCAGACGAGGCTGAAAATAACCACAATTTCACAGGGGAGGAAAATCACACTGGGGAATTCACTCCATCAGATGCTGGTTCAAAGCCTGGAATTCAAGCTGAGGAACATCACACTGTCACACTGACAGTGAAACCCCGAAAAGAAGATGGCTTAAAATTGCACCAAACTTCCACGATGTCTCAATTCGCTACGCCTAAGACTTTAAGGTCTTCAGTGCCAGGAACTGTTGGAGCTTCAGAGTTATATCTTACTCCAAGTACCAATGAATCAACGACATTTTCACCTGATGTTCATCTGGAAAATTTGCACCCGACCCATCTCACCACAGAATTGGTTGCCATTCAAGATAATTCTGAAAGAGGCGTCAGTACGAACTCACTGCCTCCGTCTGACAGTTCCACTCTTCTCCTTACCCCAGATTTTGTCATGTCAGGTAATCAAAGTGACCCTGATGATACCATATTGTCTGCCGGAACACAGTTGCAGCCGCCTACGAACCGGGAAGGATACAGTCAGCCTCCCCCAGATGATTTCCAGCCAGCAACAACGGAACAGAGTCTCACGAAAGCTTCTACTGAATGGACTGCAGCAGATTCCTCTTATACATCATCATTTCCGTTTGATGACCACGACTACGATCAAATCCTAATTCCCCCGATCATAAGATCAGGTATTGCGAGTGACCCAGACTCTTCATACAATCCCCCACCGTTGAACACCGCATCCACCGAAGCCATTACCACACAAAAAACGACGACGAGTATCTCTCCAAGCCAGCATTCTTTTCTTTGGCCACCCCCTCAGACAATATCAGAACAAACGCCAGCCGCCACACAAGCGGCAGCCTTTTGGGTCACTGGCAACTGGAGCTCTGTAAGTCTCAATGAATCGATTCCACTCTGTTTTTGCACTCCAGCAGAGCAACTTACTTGTCTGTGCTTCACTGTTGCTGGTTTTAGTTTTTTGTTTTATTTTGGTCACTGCAGATATTTAAGTAAGATTTACCTTATATAAACATTTAATGATTAATGCCCTAAATTTGCCTCGAAGTGTTGGAAATGTCCAAATATTTTACACAATGATACATATAACACAGTTACAAACACTCTGAGTTTTACAGGCTTAGCCTGATCTCAGAAATGAAACGAGGTTTCTCATGTATGCCAAGGTCACTTGCTCATCTGGTGAACAGTCTTTTGTGTGTGGGAATATTTTACCGTTTTTTTCTGGCCAGTGCTCCACAAGCTGTGGTCTGGGTGCCATCTGGAGGATTTTGACATGCAGTACTGGCTCCGAGACTGATTGTGACCCAGTCAAGAGACCCACACCTGCCCAGCGTTGTTATCTGCGCCCCTGCTCCATGTGGAAAGTTGGGGAATGGACTAAGGTGAGATGAGCCTTGTTTGATTTATTTATGTATTTTTTTTGTCCACCTTGGGGATTTTGAATTTGCATTTCTGGCATTCCACATGCTATTAATTTGTGTTCTGTTTCCTTTCAACACATTTAACCAGTTGATGGCTTTGAGGCAAAACATTTGATTGATTATTGTGTTTACCTCGAGGGTCCGGACTGTCCTTTCTCTATTAGTCTGTGGCTTGGCTCAAGGCAAGAGTGGGCAATTAATTTTCCAGTGTGACTATGTGAGAAACTGTCATGGATGTAGAGGGCCATACCAAGATGTCAACCGCGAATAGGTTCCACATCAAATGATTTTGTTTGAATAATAATCTATTCATTTTTTATCTGTAGGTGTTATGATCAGTGTTGGGTTTGTAACATGTTACAAAAGTAATTTGGTACAACAATAGATTACATGTCAGCAGCAACGAAGTAACATAAGTTACTCATCATATTTTTTGTGATATTATGACATTTACTGAGTCCCGTAACACTTGACAATTTTGGGACAGCGACACATATTTAATCACTTAATTTAAACAAGGAATCAGGCTAATGTATCACCTACAAGGCAAGCTATTTCATTAAATCAATCACCACAATCAGAATTTCTTCACCCCCTGGGAAAGTAACGCAGTAAAGTTGATTGGATTGCCCATTCTATTCCTCTTCCAAGCGTTTCATTTGATTGTACATGATCATCAGCAATTTTCATGGCTGTGAAGTCACTGTTTGTGAGACAAGTCACTGTCATGGTTTCCTGGAATAAAATGCAAAACATGGTGCTTTTTTAGGTATGATTTTAATGAAACGTGTGCCATCAATCGCTGTGCGTAAAATAGTGGTCATTCTGGTTGGATGTTTGTGATCAAAATGCAAATCCGTCTCCCTCTGAGCCTAAGACGTCCGGTGGCTGATGATGTCACGCCATGGCAACTCCAATCGGACAAACTACAATACACCCCATAAATTAGATTATGATGCGCTTGTTTATTTATTCCCATTTTTGCTTCCATTCACCTCAAACCTTTGTTTTCATGTAGGAAACAGAATTACAACATGAACCGAAATTCTACCCCCCCCCCACCCACACACCTCCCCATGAATATATTATCAGGTTAAAACCCCATGGCCCTCTTTCACTATGCCAGAATGTTGCATAGTCACTTTTCAAAAGTCTTTACAGTTGAGCAATGTCACTAAATATAGCAACAAGAAAACTTAGTCGGTAACACTGGACACAAAAGTAACTACTTTTGTACTCTTGCTCATTGGTAGCGACCATACTCATCCACATCAAAATAAAAGCAATACATGGTTTCTTTTTTTTTAACTCAATAATGACCCTGAGGGCCAGTCAAACTGGATAGGCCTGATGTGGCCTGGGCCGTACCTTCTGTCTTGAAGGCTTGTTTGTATATGCATGTTTAATAAAATATTGAACATTGCTCTCATTTAATAGTGAATCACAATTAAAAGCATGTTCCCATTGTGCACTTAGGAATGGAAAATTTACTGTTGCATTCTGAAAGTCAAAGCTGCTCTGTATATCTATGTATGTATTCATTGTATTTAATAAATGCTTGCAGCATAGCCAGGTGTGTTTTTAATTAGTATTTGTAAACAGGCAACAGATAAGAATAAGTCCACTGAAGATCTGGAATACAAAACAGCTCATTTTAGAAGACACCCTTGAACCAAATGACTGCGCTCTCTTTTTTCAGTGCTCCAGGAATTGTGGGGGTGGTATAAAATCTCGAGAAGTCCAGTGTTTCGACATGCGGGATCAGAGACCTCTACGACCTTTCCACTGTCGAGCAATGTCCTCCAGGCCACAAAGCCAAATGACCTGTAATCTTCAACCATGCCTTGACTGGTACACTTCTTCCTGGGGACAGGTGCCTAACATGACACTTAAATTGAGATAATTGCTCCTCTCGCACCACCTACTCTGGCTGCCTTAAGGGGAGGTTTATGAAATGAAATGTTTTTGACAACAGCCCATCACATCACTTTTAAGTCTGCTTGACATTTAGTGATGCCATTTACTGCTTGCTAGGAAGCTGAAAATGAGCTAACGTGTTTTTTTTTTTCCTTCCAACATCTTATTTTGAAAATGGTTCATTCAAAGGTCTCGGTTTGCTTTTCACAAACGTAATGAAAGAGACGAACAGAAACCCTTTCAGGGTGTTTGTGAAGGTCACTTGTTCTTTTTACTATACACCATAAACGGTTGCACTTGTCTCACCTGCCACATTGTACTGTGTCCATCATATTGTGTAGCTGTGTGTGTATGTGTGTGTGTGTGTGTGCGTGTGTGTGTGTGTGTGTGTGTGTGTGTGTGTGTGTGTGTGTGTGTGTGTGTGTGTGTGCGTGTGTGTTGAACTCAGTGTTCGGAGGTTTGTGGAGGTGGAGGACAGCAACGACTTGTCACGTGTCCAGAGGAGGACCTTTGTGACACTGGCCTGAAGCCCAACAACATTCAGCCCTGTAATACTCAGCCTTGTACTCAGTGGCTAACTGGATCCTGGGGACAGGTATATACTATGGAAACACACACAACTTATCGGAATGGCATGTGACCTACTCTATATATATGCTACCACTGTTTCGATTGTTTGTCTTAGTTTTGGAAACATTACTCTGAATATCTGATCCACTTCATACTCAAGGTTGACAATATACAGGGCGTTCCAAAAGTCATGGGCACATTTTGACATCTCGGAAACTATTAAGGATATAAAAACGCATCTGGTAAATTCAGAAAGGTTGTAATCTCAATTTTTACATGGAATGTTCAAAGATGTTCAATGTGAGCACCATTGGTCACACGACACACATCAAGCCGATTCTTCAAATTCTTGCCAAACACTTCCCAGCATTGCATTGTCAATGGTTGCAACAGCTTCTGTTATTCGTGCCTTCAGTTTAAAAGCATAAGCACCCATCCGTTATGAATTTACCATGCCATCTCACTATGGACTTCCTCTCTGGTGACTCCTTTCCAAATTTTCTGCGAAATGCACGCTGAACAACAGTCCATGATTCGGTTTTTGCAAATTCAAGCACACAAAACGCCTTTTCTGGTTGAGTGAATGCCATTAATGGGTCTGAAAAGAAATTTAAAAAATCAATAGCATTACGAAAAGCTTATTGTAATTAGCTTTAAAATGGCACAACTTTTATCTGAATACCATTCAGAGTTAAGGAGATATGGGGACTTCAAATGTGCCCAAGACCTTTGGAACACCCTGTATAATAAATGGGGTTGAAAGGGCAAATGGCTAAAACCGGGTGGATTTTGTTGCTTAACTCAAATTCTACAAAGGCAATATGAATCAGAATGTGAATTTTATACTAGTAGCGGTGCCGAGAACATATTATTGTCAAGAAAATTTTGGGGTAGACCTCCCCTTGAATTTTCTTTTTTTTTTTCAAATCACACATAACCATAATGTTGCCTGAAAAATAAATACATAATATATACCAAAAAAATATGAAATCAAAATCATAATCCTGCCTTTCTTATGTATAACATTTACCACTCAAAACTGGAGCTAATTTCAATCAGGTCTCTTTCAATGGGCATTTAAACTTTAATTATCCGGAACAAAACACTTTTCACCCCTTTGAAAGGTTGTGAAGAAGTTGAGATTATTCCCTCATGATCTTGGAAATAAAATATGTCCACATAGCCCCTGAAATGTGCTCGGTTCCCCTGGTTGGGAAACAACACCGCCCACACGGCACATATATAAGTGCATCAGTAGAGCTGCATCATTCATCCTTGTATGATTTTCTGTCATCTCACACACACACACACACACACATAGCAAGGATTATGACTTCTTTACCGATCACTGCTCCTTCTGTCACCTCCCCACATGACTGCTGATTGCATGTCTCACACAAAGGCCTTTTCACTGTCACATCAGCAGAGCCAGAACAACCATTGAGGATCATATGGTGTCAGGATGAGCATCATGTGACTATATTTCAGATGATGTGTGTAATCGCAAAACAGAACGCACACACACAGAAATAACAGTGGCCTTTGAAACCATTTGACTGACATTACTGTTATTCTGCTTTGAGGAACGGGCAAGATGGAAGCATAGGTGAGAAAGTCCAAAACTGGGACCCCAAATCCTTCATACTATGAAGCAGCATTACTAATTAGAAGACCGTGGACAAATATATACAGTGCCCTCTATATTTATTAAATTCTATTTGGATTGCAGAAGCATACTCTCATACGTAAAATTGTAGAAATGGTTCAGCAGACACAGAGCCAAGCTCCTCCCATGGCCATCTCGGTCCCTAGACCTTAACCCCACTGATAAGATGTGGAGTGAGAGGAGAGGACTCAGGTCGCGGGATGATCCCTCTTACTCTATTCGCCCATCTTGTAAAACATTATAGAGGAAGATATGGTGCTGTTTTGTTGGCTTTACAAAGTATTGACATCAGGAGCACTAGTAATTGTGCCACACATGATTTGATGTGAAACAATTCTTTCTTAATGTGGGATTTTTTTCCCCCACTGAATAAATGCACTTAAAAAATGAGAATCCGATATTATGAAGAAAAAAAACAGAATTTATGAGAAGCTAAAGAACACATCTTAACCAGGGCCGGCAATAATTATGGAGTGAAATGTAGCTCTATGAAAAGGAAGAAAACAAATGCTGTTTTTGTTTTCAGGTGCAGTGTTCAACGCGATTACACCCCAACAGATTTGTTATAAAGCCCTGCATTTTAAGATCCCAAGTTTTTTGTCCATCACAAAATACTCACAAATTTGAGCCACAGACTCCAAATTAAAAAAAAAAAAAAAAAACATGATGGTGTTGAGTATTCATCTGGAGGAATTGACCACTGATTAAAATCACAAAAGTCAGGGCAAGTTTGAATGTGACTTTTTTTTCGTGCATCATTTATAAAGTTTCGCCTGATTCCAGTCTTGCTGAAGAACTCCCCCACGTCCTCCTACAGCCTTCATCAAAATTTCACAGTGTGTACAGGTATGAGACACTGTGGTTTGTGAAATGAAAATCATCAGATGCTGGAATGGAAGGGCTGCAATACAAATAGACACTCTCATTAAAAAAAAATAATAATTTACAAGCTCTCTTCTTCCCCAGAGCTGCGTCTTAAACCAAACTAACTCCTGACTGCCTCAAATCATGGCAAACACCTTAATTAGCTCTCTCTGCAACCTTTGAAGTGAATCATTTTTAAGTAATGAGTGACAAATTTTCCCTTCAGTGCTCAGCGTCCTGTGGCAGTGGAGTGCAGCGGCGACTCATCAAGTGTGTGAACACAAAATCTGAAACAGAAGAAGAGATGGTTCCATCTCAGTGTGACCATGAGGTTCAACCGAGGAGCACACAGAAGTGTCACTTGGATGAGTGTCACAAGGATCCTCCCGGTGAGAAGATGACTTGCATTACGTATCGTACCCAAACAATTTAAAATTTGTATCCACTCCTGTTGGTTAATGTATTATGTAACTCACTTTAGTGCCATTTTTTTTCTCATTACGGAGCTCAACTTCTGCAATTTTTTTTCTCCTCTTTTCATTGAAAAACAATAGGTCGGTTTACCCCAACTCACCTTTCTTCAAATAGCGATTACTAAGGAATGTAGTAAGGAAGAACCATACCTTTTTTTTCTGTTGGAATCCAATCTTTCATTTGGTACACATCCATGTTTACTTTATAAACATGGAAGAAAATTAATTACATCGCCCCCACTATTCTGTCAGCCTTGAAAGATGAATCAAAATGCTCGAAATTGGCTGGCACTCTAGGGGTTGCCTTCAGAAAATTGCTTTGTCATGTATTTAATTGAATATAAGTCGAAAAGGATTTGAGCATTATCGTATTCTGTTTTTAAGTATGTTTTACACCAAGTTGCAACATCATTGGAGTTTATGGAATTGGAGTTTATACAACTGTAATTTTCAATCATTATGTTAAATGGCTGTGGTGTGCTACAAAACATCTGTATCTTTGTCAGTGGAAAATCCCTCGTTGCTGATGTGCCTTTGCCATTATTATCCCCGCAGGAGGTTATATTTGTAGAGGAAGGAAGAAATGACGAGCAGCATGCATTCGGTCATGAAAGGGATATGAGCTCCTGGCTCACATAGATGGTACACATGCCAAAAAGTAAAGTAACAAAGTGACACAGGGTTGCCATCTTTTTACAACTTATTAAAAAAAAAACAAAAAAAAACAGAATAAGCATTTCAAACACCTCTAACAGATTAATTCACAAGAAAACGATCACTAAAGTACATGACCTTTTCTACTGCCTACATGGCTTTTCTTCTCAACAATGGCCAACTCATTGTTCAGATCATTCGGTGCATCGTATTATGAGGCACAATATCAATGACAGAACCGATCCCTGCTGCGAATAGTGGGAAAAAAAAAACTGTAATTGACACTCCCCTTCAAATGTTTAGAATTGCTATCCCGTAGCAGTTTAAATTGTGAATATACTACAAACTACGATCCTAAAACGCTAAAATGCAACTATTACAGCAAATTGCATCGAGGCAGGGGTTCGTGTCATAGACTGAATTTAATTGAACCTTCGTTCGGCACGTGGAAGTGCAGTAGCATCAAGAGTTTTATGTTTGAAAGCAATAGACTGCTGTAATTCACGACACCGATACGTATGACGAGCTCCTTAGGTGATTTGCATGACAACATCTCAACTCAAATCACTCGGTGAGGATGTTCCACGTTGCCGCGTGTTGATTACTGTTCTATATTGGGCACGAGCTCCTTAGGTGATTTGCATGACAACATCTCAAATCACTCAGTGAGGATGTTCCACGTTGCCGCTTGTTGATTACTGTTCTATATTGGGCCTGCTGGAGCCCGAGGGATGATTATGGGTGAGGCGGGTCAAGCATCGCCGATAGGAGAAGAGACATAAACAGGAAATGAGGCATATTTAGTTGCAGCTGCTGCCTTTGCGCCCCTCTAATGCAATCAAGTGTTTATTATGTGCATACACATCTAACATATGACATCAGACTGTGTTTAATGGTCAATACGCTTTTGCAGTTGGTTTAGATTTCATGTTGGATTTTGAAGAATCTTTTCAGAAAAATTCATAATGGGCACTGAAACCGTGTGGAACGGACAAAAGTTCAAAATATGAACATCGGGCATTGCATAATCATGTTCCAACAAAATTATGTGAAAAAATAAAGTGATGAAACTAGCTGGTACATTTTGTGGCAATTGCTGCAATCCAATGAAATGTGGAAGTCTCAAGGAGACAATCAATACCTTTTAAAAGGGAATATTGGCCCACTCCTTGTGAGACTGCATGTTTCACCTTTTTTCATGTATGCTCAACATCTAATACAATGTCTCCAA